TTACGGCCATTACGGACATCCATAATAGAAGGTCCATCACAATTTCCCTACCTTGGAAATTGGGAAATTCTCCATTACGGCCATTACGGCCATTACGGACATCCATAATAGAAGGTCCATCTCAATTTCCCAACCTTGGAAATTGGGAAATTTTGCATGACGAATATAATACCCTATGTGAGTGACATCTTGATTGTTTAGTGGGTCAAAAATGAATTTCCCGGAAAACGCTATAACGCATCAAATCGAGATCGCAAACAGGCACACCTGCAATCGTTTTATTCTAAAAGTGCAGAAATATTTCTGAGACTTTGCGTGAATATGCAGCGTTTTTTAGACGCGATGCATGTTATTTTCGAAATGAGAAAAAATCAAGATTTACAATTTGCACAAATTGTTGATCGAACATTCGGTACAAAAGCAAAGTTTTATATCGACAAGCATTTAGTTTTCAATAAGCGTTCAAATGGTGAGCTCATCAGTTATGTTGCATTAGAAACATGTCATATCACTGCAAATTTATTCGACAATTACTTATTCAAAAATATTTTAAATTTGTTCAACTTAGACCATTCAGTAAGTCAAACAAGTATGCCTTCCACTCAGTTTCGTACATTGGTTGAAGAAAAGCCATCAATAGAAAAAAGAATATTACAGTTACCGTATCAGTTTTTTCTTCGATCTGATTTGAAACAACCTGCAACAAATGCCAATGGCAAACGAATTAATGCTCCTTTCCATCACGTAGACAACAACTTATTAAATAATACTATTACTAAATTAGTTGATCAAAGACTACTGAGCACAGGATATTTCATTTCTCGACCAAAAGCACAGCAAACTCGTTCCTTCATGAAAAATCCAATACCTAGTGAACCATTGGAAAAGGAAGAATTTATTCAACACTTGGAATCATATAAGATTAACGCGGACGAATATCAAAACTCGCTTACTCGTTCAGAGCTGCCTGTGAACTGCAATCTTCTTCCTGAGGCTAAACAATTGTTAACCACCAGAGCTGAGCATCGTGATGATTGCATAAAGTATGGTATAACATTGACAAGTATGTACAATGGTATTTATTTTACGTTCATGCCATGAGTTAAATAGAAGATCTTTATATCCGAGTAGATCCAGAATGTACACATGTTCTTGGCATAGCTGATCTAAGAAAACTTTCGATTTTAGTGAACGTGGGCAGTACACATGCATGTGATGATATGATTCCATTAAATTTCGAAAATATTCCTGGTGATTCAAATGCTCGAAATTTATTTATTGAAATGCCTGTTGCTGTAACAACAGACAACGAATGTCACGCAATCGGACAGTGTCTTGCTGAATAATCATGGAGAAGTGACACGTAAGCCAATGCATTTTAATAAGTTTCGAAAATATTGAGCTTCATTTTTCGACTTTAGGTACCTCCGCAAGGAATGTTGCTTTAAATTCCGACCATGATTTAAACGTTCTTTCGCATTGCAGTGAAGGTAATGTTTCTGTGAACGCTTGTATGCCATGGTGTTTCCCAATATTTTTTATTCGCTGATCTATAGAACTCTTGGGAAACGATTTGGATATGATACAAGTGGAACAAGTACAAGTGATTCAATTGATTGAGAGCAAGAATAAAACGCATGATGTGCAGTCGAAAGGTTGAACTATATAGCATCAATTGCATTTCATATCATGTAAAATCGAACAATGCGTTTTTGTTCTGTAGATTGTAATCGTGGCTGTGAAGGATTGGATTGCCGATCAATGCAGTCAATCGATCGAATTGGATCAGAACCAGGTATCGTACCGGTTAAAAAATTACGAAAAATAAACCTTTTTGGAAATTAGCTGGAACAACATCATCACATATTCATCCACCGGAAATAAAATCTTGTGTTCGGGCAATTTTACAATATCCATCGATAATTTTAACTTCGTCTGATATTGCTCTTGCAACTCGGCATCACACAGCCATGAATCGTCAGCGTTGTATTCAATCAATGCTTGATAAAGGGCTTTTAAAGGAGGATAACTATTTTGTTCGAAAGCTGTCGAAATCCGTGAAGGTAACGAAGGGTTTTGCTAAAAAAGTACCATTGGTGGATGATGAACAGTCACGTTTTAATTTCATAATTGCTTTAAATGAGTTCGGGATTTCATGGGATTTATTCAAATCTTTTTTCGATCTCACAAGAAATGGTATGGAGATAAAATTGCAATGAATGTGAAAATTAATTTAGTTTTTCACAGGCTTCCATACAACGACACAATTATATTTGAATCAAACAGCTGAATTGCTGCTGGACTCAGATGATTATCGTTCTTACGTATGCTATGATAAATCTATGATATTCCGTCCGCTTGAAAATGCAATAATAGAACAGGATGAATTAGAATATGGAGACAATGTCACAGGTAATGTAGTTTGAAAAACGTACCATTGAGCCATTTGAAAATGCGGAAAAAGAAAGCGGAAAGAGGAAAAAATCTCAAGTTGCGTTTCAATCCAAAAGAAAAAAACTTTAAAGAGTTATATTTATTGTATTTGCTTTTTAAAACAGATTTCGTATGAAAATCAGAAAAAGAAACAGATGTTCATCGCATATCTTTTTCTTTCAATATTTTTCTTGTGAAGATTTTTATTAATATGTACTAATCTGTGTTTGTTTATCATATTTCGCATTCATTAATTTTATTTACAAGAGTTTCCAACAATTAAAACCAAACAGATTTTCAAAATGAGACGTGTTCCATCAAGCTTTTTTTCTTTTTCTCTTTTGAGAGGTACCATTTTTATCTTTTACATATACGCAAAGTTATTTTCAGATATTATACTAAATGAGTAATACATCGCTGGAAAGCAAAAATGATCTTTTTTTGCTAAGCTGTTGAAACAAGCTCCCATTTACACGATAATGATGCTGCATGAACGGATAAAAGATGCTTTTATGTTAAATGACAAATATGCTGTCATTTGTGAGATCATCAATAAGCAGTTTAACACCAACTTTTCACCTGTCTTTATAAGGCAACAGATTGATTTCGTCTCATCATCAGATTTATTTCGTGGATATTTATTGTATTCTACGGATGTTGATCAATTGGTAACTGATTATCAAAAATTGACTAATCACTCAATTGTGTTCAAGAAAATTGAACCAATGTCGAAGAAATGTCTTGTTTGTTCACAAAATGATGGTGTATTACCCGTATATCAAGTATCAAAAACCTTTTTGTTTAACGATAACGTTTTGGAACAATGCATTATTTTGTATTCACACTGCAAAATATGTAAATGGTCATATTATCCAAATAGTCAGAGGAATGATGTTGTTCGAAAGCAGTTCATACGAAAAGATCAATTTCTCAATGCTGATGCATTTTACTTTGGCGGTGAATGTGTTTATTCTCGCAGAATCTTTTTATCGTTTACCACAGCTTTATTAACAATGAGAGCTTCTTTCCATGGGTTTGTTACATACTTCAATAGTATATTTACAAATAAAACAACATTTTCGGCTAAAAAGCTGGATGAAAAAAATTTTCAAATCAACTGGATTATTTATTCTGTTTTGAAGTTATTGTTTCAGTGGAGTAATGAAGAAATTATTGAAATTCCGTATTCTTTATATGATAAGGATCAGGCGAATGCCTTTTTTGATCGACATAAATGTCAACTTTATTCTGAATTCGTTAAACATTGGTCAAATCAAACAATGCACACAACTGCAAATTGTACTGCTCGCTGCAATGATATACTGATAGTCGATGGACATAAAAAAACTGCTCGAACAACTTGTAGATTCAACAACTGCTATGATAACACTATTGTGGAGTTAGGGCCAGTGCTTGTAGGATGTCCCAAGTCAGTTTTCAATACACGTACGCATCCGAGTGTTATTACTTTTCTAGATACTATCTATTTTCAAATGCTTCTAGAAGTCGATTCGAATTCTCTTTGCAAAAAGCATTTTGAAATAGTCGCAGATCGTGGTGTTTGTGCTATGGAGTTTGATGCGTCGGATGATGTAACAGAAGAAACATGCAATGTTAAGCGGAATGAGTTAAGTGACAATCCAACTCGATCAACAACTTATGGGTTTTTTGGTTTCTTTTTACTCGTGTGGAATAGTTGCCGGGTTTGATGAATCAATACGATCTGAATCACAACGACGTGTTTTAAGACATTTAATTCGAATTGGTAAATCGTTTATTTTCTCGCTTCATATATCCTTTTATTTTTATAGGACGAATCGCCAAACTTCCCTTGGGGATTGTATACGACACTGCGTGCTCGATAAACTTTATTTTGTTTTTTCACATATATAATTGTGGTGTAACTGAAGTTCGATTTTAGATAAATTTGAGAAATTCAAAGATTACAAAACTCTGATATAATACTGGGTAAAACACATGATTCTATGTCACGAGAAGTATGCAAATCACTCTTTTGCTATATACATGCAGATTCATATTCNGGAAGATATGTCGCCTGACATCAGTAAGTAACCTTCGTCACTGCGACTCACTTAACCCTCGACTGTGTAAAAAAGAATTAGTTTTTTGTATAAATCGCAATACGATATATTACGCGCATCTCTCCAAAAGATCACCAAGACCACCAAGACCACCAAAACCACCAAAACCACCAAGACCACCAAAACCACCAAAACCACCAAGACCACCAAGACCACCAAAACCACCAAGACCACCAAGACCACCAAAACCACCAAAACCACCAAGACCACCAAGACCACAAAGACCACATAGCCCCCTATAGTAGTGATGTCAGTTAATATTAGTTTTTCACAAATTCATTTGCTTTTAACATAAATGATTTTGCTACAAAATCATATTCCCCACCATATGTTGACTAGCTCTGCCAAACCCCCACGGAATCATCAGAAAAGGGCTTAACTGAAACTTGACACTTTTTATTGAAGAAAATTACCCTCATAAAAACTAAGTCAATGTGAAAACGAATGAAAAGGGCTTTTTAGACTAAATTGAAAAAAGATTATTTTTGAAACTGGAGCCGATAACACACGTATATATATCACACGCTTTTGTGTCGTGCACTATACAAACGGTCTCCACACACTCTTCAACAATGCGTGCACTTTTACCATTTCTTCTGGCCTTTATTTTTTATATCGGAACAGGTGAGAAACATGCCGCGCTTCTTTAGTTGAATAACTGCACAGGAGATATCTTCAAATTCCTTTCACAATAGCATAAAGTTGAACGTATCATTTGCATTAATTTCTTCCAGGAAAAAGTAATGAATAAATAAAAAAAAGCATCGAATTTTTAGTGCGACCAGCATCTATTCCGGAGGAGCCCGCCGTATATTTGTCGAATTGTGCTCAATGTTCGATAAACTTGAAAGCTATCCAACCATGTCTGGCGCGCACTCCCGGCTGTACAAGATGCATGGCGTATCGAAACTCTCAAGATCCAGGTGAATATCGATCACATAATTTTCTTTTCAAATGCTTCTATGAATTTTTTTCCAATAGATGTGCTCGAAACAGGATGTTGTATGTCCAACTGTGGTCCAATATACAAAGTATCAATGTCCGATGGTCGTCCGACATATTTTTGCCAGGGTGATATTTGTAACCTTAAGATGGGATCTGAAGTGCTTGATCTTCTTCGTTAATTATAATAAGATTTGGAATAGAGTAATCTATTTTCTCAGAAAAATATCACACTGAATCTTCATTTTGGGATGTGATTACTTTGTCGGTCGGTAAATATTATTTAATAAAATGGTTATGGATTTCATGCAGCGAACAGCTGTAATTCAATTGAAATATTGTTGTAAATGTTCCATTGAGTGTTCTCAGGTCAAAAATTCAGACGTCAAATCGTATAGTATCCTTTTGTCCGCATTTTCATAACCACTATTGTAGTCGAACAAAAAACAGTTTATTTTGAAAAGTAACTGTAGAGCGTCATTCACATTTAAAAATAATTTTAAAACATTAGATAAGATATACGAATTCCTCGCTAGCAGATGTGAGAGAAAGGAAAAAAGAATGTTCTTAACAAGACAAAGTTACGTGCGTCTGAAATCAGCTTATTATTTTGTGTAATCTTCTCTCTTTGTATATTTAAAACATGAGATTTCAAAAGTAGGTTTTGTATTTTGTTGAAATGAGGAGTTCGCTCTCGTTACGAATGATCAACATTTGAATGCTAATGGTCTTTTTGGTAAACAACATACTGTCAACGATGGACTAAGTCCTTACGCATATAACCGAGGTTCAGATGTAGTATCTCGATTTGTTCGACGACGATTCAGAGTGGTACAACAGATGAATGTGTCCAAAACTCTCTATGTCAGCAGTGAACCAATTCAAGTCTCTTGGATACCTGTACCACAATGGTGTAAAGATGATTTTGTTGGTGTTCTCTATACGGAAGTTTCGGATCAAAGTCCATGTGATTATTTTGACTATGAATTTCTTCAAAGAAATCAAAGTAATACTTTTTGGTATATGACAAATCTTTGTCGTTCATTAGATTTTCGTTACTATTCACGGCAACCGAAATGCACTGGTAATTACACACTTATTGCAAAGTCACCCATCGTTCAACCAAACAATTATAACGAGCCAACGCATATTCATATTGCTTAAAATGGTGATCGAATTGATCAGATGTATGTTTTCTTATTTAACGAATTCGTAACAATACACACCAGAATGTCTGATATTCGAAATGCAAAGAATCTTTCTCATCGTTTTCCCAATGTTCATACAATAACAATACAATCATTTATGAATTTGGATTTAAATAAACTTTATCAATTTCGTTATCTTAAACATTTAATTCTTAATGATAAAAAATCGAGTTTTTCCTTATTACCAAAATCTCTTCATACACTCACATTATCTAATTTATCAATTAAATTGAATATTTATCCATACATTTGACATTTAATTATTCAAAATAATAAAATAAATTCATCAACAAAATTAATAAATCTCGTAAAATCTTTGTCAAATCTATATTCAATTGATATAAAACTGCAAACAAGTGATCAATCTAATGATTATCGTAATATATTACTTAATAAACAATATTTATCGAATTTATTCTCTATAAAAACAAATTGGCAAGAAGATTATAGATATTGTTCAAAGAATCATTTATGAATATCTGCTAATACATCATTAAAATATCGAAAAACTTCATTCTATGCATACTCGTATAATAATCACTTAAGTATTTGTTTATAAATAAAAGTTTTCTCCTTTTTTTCTATTGAATTCGATGAATTTTGTACATGACGATGAAGGAATACTTATATCTATTATAAGTCGACAGAAACCATATGATATTCCAATGATCAGTAAGATTTATTAGAGTGAGGGTGTATGTGTATGAGTTACCAACTCACATTAGAATCAGGTAGAATGGTTATCATCACCGTTGCATCGCTCATCTAATGTGATGTATATTCTCATTGTGCTCAGAATGACGGACCATTTTTTCTTGTAATTTGAATGTTCTGTTGATTACTCGTATGAAAATTAGTAGATTCATTCTGTGGAGACGAGCTCGTCCCCGCGGGATGTGTGAGACCACTCAGGAATTTACATTGTAACGAGAGTTTGGTTACTTCACAATTGCTTTTACGATTTCATTATGGTTTTTTCTCTTTTGCCTTTTTGCTTGCTCATTTTTTGTTTCGCATATACCAAATGTGAGTCGATAAAGTAAATAATACAACTATATCTTATGCTTATTGCATAGTTAAAACGACTGAATAGAATTTTCAACAATCAAATGATCAGATAATAAAATCTACTCATTCAATTATTCCTAAACAATATCGATTCAATGTGGAAAGTATTATTCTTATATGGATCGACAAACCTGCAGAAGATCCTCAAGAAAAAGAATTACAACAACTTGTAAATGGCATCAATACATTCTCCAACATAGATGATTGCATCGAATTCATTACCATAATCAAACAACCTGAAAAAATCTATATTATTATATCGGAACCATTTGATGAGCAGAGTATATTGTGCAACTTCATTCATATATTCAAGTCGAATCGATATTTATTTCGAATCCTAAGAAAGAAATACAATACCATGGTGTATATTATCATCGAAAAGTAAGAAGTATCTTTACAGATATTAAGTCAATGTACGAACTATTAAAACAGAGTATATTTCGAACAGAGAAAAATATGATTGGTTTAAAATTTGCTGAATATCAAACAAATACTATGATAGAGCCAAAAAATAAACAAGAATCACTTTTATGTACACTCAAATAATGAAGTATATTATTTTTCAAATTACAGATATGGACATAAGTGATATGGATGTATTTTGTCGAGTAGCTTATGAAGGTAATGTTAGCGAATTAAAGAAGATTGATAAGTCCGAGACAGAATATTCTGCAGAAGAATCCATCAGATGATATATATTGTCCATCAAGTTACTATGGAGATACATGTCAATATCAGGATCAACGTGTGAGTCTAACAATTCAAATACGAGCAACATCAGATTGGGAACAGTTATTCATTTTCATCAAAATTCTTCTGGATGACGAAGGAAATATTGAATCACATGATTTTATTGAATATTTACCTATACGAGATTGTGATACAAAAATTCAATATTTATTCACTCTATTCAACTCGACTAAAAAATTCATAAAAAATCTATTCGATACGTATTGATGCATTTCTTACAACAGAATTAACATATCGAGCGAGTCGGATTTTTCCACTTCAGTTTTTATTTCTTCCAGTACATCGAATATCCACAATTCTCATAATTCCTTATTCAAATATTCAACCATCTACTAAATGTACACCTTCATGTAATTCCCATTCATGTGCTAACGGTGGCGCTAGGACAGAATGTCGCAGGACAAAATGTCGCGGACAAAACGTTGCGAGACCAATTGGTTGCGTAAACAAAACATTTTCGTGAATATATTGTCGCGAGTATAGTGTTGCATAAGTCAAATACTCAAATACCTAAATAGAAGATCGGTTATTAATTATTCACCAAGCATAATTTTTCATATCTTCGCAGCAATTCCTAGCCATGCTTCTACGGCGTTGTTCGACCTGGGAAGGTTATTCATGACACGTTCATACACATTCCATAATTCATTATTGAATTTTGGTTTCTTCCTTCCATTTCCTACAACAAAACATTTACATGAAGTTTATAGAAATATATCATTCTTACCTCGAATCTTCTTTTCACCTATCCACGTTTTTTCGAAATATTCCACCAGATTTTCAGCTTCATCGTCGAAGTCATCAGCAAGTAAGTTGAACGCTTCAATTACTTCCGACGCCGGAACGAAGGGTAAGGCAAGTAGTTTTCTAACATTTAATCGAAAAGTATCGTCGTCTTCATATTTTCTCGTTAAACCATTATCTTGTACATGACGGCACGCTACGGGACAGACTATTTTAAATCCACTGCGATTAGTGATCATTTTTATCACAATGTTCACTTCGTGCTCGACACGTTTCATCAACGTAATCATACTCGGCACATGTGTAGAAACGAGATGCGCGCAGATCATCCGTCACACAAAAATATGTTTGACAATATTAACAGTCAGATTGCAGAACAAACATTTTCTATTATTAGTCAGTATAAAACGCATTGGTCCAACTATTCATATCCCAAAAGTTACATAAACTTTATTTTGTTTTTTCACATATATAATTGTGGTGTAACTGAAGTTCGATTTTAGATAAATTTGAGAAATTCAAAGCTTACAAAACTCTGATATAATACTGGGTAAAACACATGATTCTATGTCACGAGAAGTATGCAAATCACTCTTTTGCTATATACATGCAGATTCATATTCAGAATACTTCTTTCTTAATTATATAACATATAGTCTAATTCAGTTCCATCTTCTGATAATCCCAGCACACATATTTTTCAATATTCTGGCTTATAATTTATGCTATTTTGTAGTTTAAATCAACTCCGATTCAACTAAACAGCAAATATGCATGTTATCTCTTCATACCACGCCCTGAATGAAAATGTACCGCTTGGTTCGCTTTCATTGTATGCCTGTAGTGAGCTCAACTCATCTTCAACCCAATCACGTCCGGACAGTTATTGGCTATTGTAGTATACCTATAATACGACTTCTGTATAAAAATGAGTTTCTTATACATTCATATCCTACCCAACCCAACCCAACCCAAACTCAGATACAAAAGTATACAATGTATATTTATATTGTAGGAAATTCATTTGAGTTTCCTGGAAATTCATTTTATAAGTATTTTATTTCAATTTCCTGGAAACTGGACATTACCATCGCATGTTCTTCTTTTCATTGAATCGAATATAGATGATATGTATTTACGTTGGATTTGTTCGATCAATTTTGTTTACAGAAAATGTGAACGAATAACGTGAGGGTGATTCCGTTGTAATCGAGAAAAGAAACATTGATTGACAGTTACCTTTGTCAATGATAAAGGACGAGTGATTGGATGAAAGAACGTTATCAAGTTTGATCAAATTTTGTACTTCAATAGAAAATGTATCGACTGAAATGTTGTCAAAAAACGAATTGTTTTTTCATATTTATTCTTTCATACAATTCACATTAATCAACATCGGTTAGGATTTGATCTGGATCTGCGATTTTATGAGAGTTTGACCTATTTACAAAATGAACGTCAATGCCATTGGGATCGAATATTGTACCGAATCCAACAGCGATTTGTATTAGTTCGCATAATTTATCCTGATGCGTTTGTTCACTGTTCATTAACAAAGTATATTCATCCACCAGGAATCGTCGCAAATAAAAACATTTTTATAATCTTTTAATTAACAAAGACTTTTCTTTGCACTTCCTGAGATTTCGTGTCTTCTCGTCGTTGCATGAAGATATTTCTTCATATTTGAATCCAAATCTCAAGAAAATATGAAAAGAGAAGAAGAAAATCAATGTCATTACTAATAGAAATTTCAGTCATTTAATTTGAGACATTGATATCTGAACAGATGAATGAGAATTCGATGTGTTTTTATCCATTGTTTCTCTACCAACCTCTGTTAAACTTGAAGTTTGAATGAAATTCCTATTCTCAGTTGAATCAGCATCCATTAATGTTTCATCAACACTACAATTCATAGTCTGTTATGGAACCAATTCTTCTACCGCTCTTTTCCGTTGTTTACAAATAAATATTTCTGGAAAAAATACAAGTACGCAATTTTTCTCGCGCTCGCATAAATTCGGGTTGAGAAAACATTGAGAACTGAATTAAACTTGATTTCAACACAAGGAATTAATTAATTAAATATATTCTTGTCTGCCTACACGATGATGTACAGGAGACCAGCGACAGGAATGCTTTTCTATTCTTTTGTTAAAAAAAACCATGAAAAATGGCGCCTCTTGAACGTCGCAGTTTCTTTTAAAACAATGAGTAAAGCGAGAAGACAAAAGCAGTTAAATAGAGACACACATGTTTGCAAGACTCTTGACAAGAAGAGAAATGTTACATTTAAAAATATTTCGTTTTCATAACGACGTCAAGAATCTTCTCGGCTTTTTTATGCTGAATTATGTAAATATTGTTGTATAACAGCTCGATATCGAAGAATAGTTTTATGCAATTCTTCTTTATAAAAGTTTGATGATAAAACAAATAAGACTGAGCGAATTCAATGAGTCTGTGAATAGAGACATTGATTGACATATTAGATTATTTATATCGACTTGTTCACAATATTCTTCATCAAATGAACCATCAAAACAATCAACTATTCCATTACATATTTCAATCCAATCGAATCAAAATGGATATGGACCACGGTAAAATTTAAGATGAAAATAATATGTGAAATTATCATGAAAACCTTGTGATGAATAACAAAAGCGTTGTAAATATCGTTGAAGTGAAGAAAAGTCTATTTATGATGATTGAATTAGGATATAATTAAAAATCAATTGATGCATTTACATTCATGTATAGATAACATGACGAAACAAAAGATTCCATAAAGCTTTATATAAAAATAGACTCCATTCGTATAAGGACGAGACTTATTTTTTATCTAAAATCTTACAAAATTCTCTGTTCGCCGTGCTGAATTTACAACAATAATCTGGCTTATTTAGCCAATTGCTAATCCAATTGTTTGTTTTGTGGGTTTGGATTTTTTTTGTGTAATAAATAAAGGTTCTTGAAACATCTAAGTTTGCCATAAAAATACTTTTTCTCAGGTAGTTGATTATACAAATCATACACATGTTAGGCCAAAAAGAAATGTTTGCATAGAAAAAGCATTTCACATTTGAAATAACTGAAGACAGACTATCTCTTCATGCATTCATATTATTTTCAAAACATTTTAGGAAAATCAACATTTTTCCTGTGACGACGGAAACTGAACTCAGAGCGTGTTCTCGTTGATCTTTCATTACTATTGATAGACAATCCGTTAAATTTTGTCACCAAACGATTTGACTGCTTCTGTAACGTAAATTAACAGGAAGTGTGTTTGAATATCAATTAGTATTTCAACCGAGATTACAGAATGAAGAAGGCACGTCTTCACGATACTTATTTGATTCATTATCAACATGAGCCTTGTTGACTTAGTTTCACACACGATGAAAGACACACCACACATTTTCAGAAACAAGTTACGGTTGTCTTCGTTAAAAGTAGAAATCGCTCATTGAATTCATTATGTGTTCACAAAGACCATCTGGAACTCTTGTTTGCGATTCGTCCTTGCGCAGAAGTGATCAGATATAAAAATTTTGTCTCGCACATCTCTGTCGACAATTGATGGTGAGAATTCATTGAAATTTGCTATTACTTATTTTGTGTGTTGTTAACGCTTACATTGCAACTACAGGTAACTCAGACTGTAAATGGTTGCAAGTGTCTTCTTCGCAACAAAAAATTCTTTTCTCGAGAGAATTACCCTGTTTACCTGTTAAAAGAGCACTTGGGAAAAATTCGATTTTGTTTTTTGTTAAAAGAAAAACAGAAAGGGCACAGTGTCACGAACGTTAAAAGGACATTCAATACACTCAGATTCCTGTACATGTACAAGTATAAAAAATATTCATCTACTTTTTTTTCATCCGAAGTTTACAGTTTGAAACAACATACATGGCTGCAGTAATTGTGTCTGGATTACTAAAATGGATTGAAAACAGTTTGTTTTTCCATTAGAATCAAGAGTGTTTATATGCAAAAAAAGAAATACTATTAAAGAGCATGCATTTATTCAATTTGCATGTTATTTTGCAACGCACAGATAATGATCAAAACATTTGCTGTGCATTTCTTTGTTCTTGCTTGCATTATTGAAGCATCTCATTTCCGTGGCGGAACAATAACCTCGTAAGTCAAAGATACTTTCTATTGATTTGTATTTTATATTTATTTTTCACAGACGCCCTTTCAATGCTACACCATCGGGCTCAATAGTTCCTGTCATCGTGCGAGAGCGATGGTCATGGCGTCGCAGTTGGAATTATCCACCATGCGATGATACTGTCATTGCTTCATACGTTCGTACAGAAGGTGCTTCGTTTCCAGTCACTTGCACAAGTGGTTCTTGTAGTCCTTGGACAGGCATGGATACGACAACATACTGTACTGATTATAGTGTTCCATTGGATGTTGCTTCAGGCGAATATTATGACACGTATATGATACCGCTCAACACTGCTTTCACTATTGCCTTCGCGGGAAATGCTTGGTTTCAAAATCTGGTTGTTGGAGGTGGTTTATACTGGTCTGTTGCCGGTCGGATTAGTACTATCCTCCGACCAGACGGCTTCTTAGACACCAGTCCTGTTGCTGTCAGTCTTCCTATTATCTACAAGCAAATCAATATTCCGCAGGTTCACGTCGTTCAAATGTCCGATTTTGATGGAACTGATCTATTAAAATGTCGATGGTCCACTTCATCAACAAGTACTATCAATCAATACGATGAATGCGCAAATGTATGTAACGGCATACCAGGTGCTAATCTTATTGGATCAAATTGTACAATTACTTTTACACTTGTCTCAGCTAATTGGTATGTTGCAGCAGCATTACAAATTGAAGACTTTTATAATGCTGCAGCATTGTCAGCGAATACACCAATGACGTCGGTTCCACTTCAGTTTCTTTTCTATGGTTATGCTGCACCAAGTGGTTGTGGTACTCCGCCGGCTATCATTGGTCAACGGCCAAACCGAGGTAAATTTAGTTTCTAATATTGAACCATCGATCATTTCTAGTCATGTGCTGTTTCAGCTTGTATCGGAGTAATGCCGGGCGACAATGTGACAGAAATTGTCATTACACAAGTTTATTGTCCGGGAACGAGTATTGTTGACACTGTTTCCAGCGTACCTGTTGGAATGACAAAAAGTAATATTTCCAATCCAAGCACAAGTTAGTAAATGCAGAATATAATCGACGCATATTGTAGAATGTACTGTTTGTAGATATATATGAGATTATCCTCAGTTGGATACCTATGTCCAGTCAATATGGTCCACAAGCTGTGTGCTTTGGAACTGTTGATAATCGAAACCTCCAATCAAATCAATGGTGTATTACATTTTTGGTTGGTTTTAAATCACCTCAAGTCATTCGACCACAATTGGTTCAAGGTTCAGCTTCACCCATTGGTACTGTCTTTCAAAATCAAACTACCTTCTCCATTCAAAGTAAGGTTTTCCCTTATATTCATGTACTCATTTTGCTCCCCTTCGATGAAATTATATCTCTGAAGTTTATTATTTCCTTCAGCTTCAATATCGGTTAATCGCCCAACACTTAATGGTACTAATATTTACTTTTGGGATTCTACTCTCGGTGGTACACTTGTCCAACAATATGATTGTGGTTGGGCACCTGAAGTCACATACACTGGTTTTACAATTATCATACGTTTTCCTGTCGCACCATGGTTACCCGGACATTTCTATTATGTTACTATGGATAGTGGTAATTACATTTAGTCGATTGTTTTTATATGTTTTGCTCTTGAATGTTAACGTTTAGGTGTTGCTAGTGGAACTGAGTTTTGTGGTAAGTAACTGTGTAAGATATGATAGAAATGAAATTTAATCAATAACACAAGGTCCTGAATCGGCACCAATCACCGATCCAACATTTTGGGTATTCAATATCTGGAATCCTGCACTTTCATCTACAACGACAACGACTACAACACCATTTACAACTGCGACAGTGACAACAAAACCAACATCAACGACAAGCATCAATACTCTTGTAAGTTCTATCATTAAGATAGATCTTTGTCACCCTATTTTGAGTTAGTTAACAACAACTGGTATTGTTATCACAACTACAACGCCTCCAACAACTACAGCAACAACATCAACGACTACACCTCCAACTACAGCTGGTGATGATCTAAAATAAACTATTAATATATTTATATTGACTTATTCATATTGTAGCTCCTACAACTGCTGCTCCAACGACGCCAGGGTCAACGACTGAGTCAACAGTTGCCGTTATGTATCCAAAAGATTTTGTAAGTTTCTTTTATAGCGAATTTCCTATTCTTCAAAAACCGAATAATAGGAACTTGCTTGTCTTCAACCAATTGCGATTCTGAGTGCTGTTTCCTTTGCCGTATTGATACCTATCCAAGGATTAGTTATGCATGCTGCATTTATAAAACTATCAAATACATTTAATCCGTCAAAGATTGGTGCTCAAACAAGACATAATCAACGAATGAAACGAATTATGCGTAGATAAGAACGATCTTTCGAAGACTATGACTACTTTTTCCTTTTTTTTCCCATTAATTGAGTTTTAAGAGTGACTAAGATAAAAATCAATATCCCGATATGCTATTTATCAATTGAATTCAATTAAATACACGTTTAGTCTAGGTGATTGTAATCATGGAAATAATTCGAATAGTGACTAATGGTAGAATAAACTTTATTGAGACAATTATAATTTTCCAGCCAGATGGACAAGAAAATGCTGGATTTGCTCATACGTATTTTAAACAATGTATTTACCCAGTGATTTCAAGAAGTGACCGGATTTGACCAAAGAGGTTCTACATTTGGTTAAGAGTAACGCCGTCAGAGCTGGTATTTTAGCGATATTATATTCTATTTCATTCGTTTTTTTGTTTCAAAATGATGTGTATTTTCATTTCTATCCACCATCAATATTTGAATCGTTATAAGAAAACTTTTTCGTACATCTCGACCTTATGATTTGTGTTATCTTAGTATATGATCCGTTGTAGCAATTGCCCAAAATCTGTGTGGCTTTAGATACAAGAATTATTTTCTGAAGGTGAATTTCGACCATTGGTCGCACTGAGTTGTGCTGAAATATCTATCAATTCGTCAGTTTTCATAATCTTCATTCCACATTTATTTTATCTAAGTTCATCAATTGTAGGAATATGTCATTTAATTTTATTTAATATTAGGTATTAAGTGAAATGCTTTAATTAAGGTTACTTAAATGAGATGACCCATCTCTAGTTTTTCATATATCCCAGTGTTTCCGATAATGGCGTCCATAATCGAATAGTTCGAAAAGAACGGAATTTATTATATTATAGAATTTGAAGAAAATGTTTATAATTGTAGTGGTTTTATTTTAATTGATTATCGAAGACTATTTTTATGAGATAGCACAATGATCAGATCCTTCGGCCATCAACATTGTCCACCAAATTTTATTGTTCTTTTCATAAGCACCAATGCCAACCTACCATAGAACAATAACGAAAATATTTACATGAAAAGTCTTGTTTGAAATTTAGATAACAAGGAAACAAAATAATAAGTGTAATCTCATACTTGATTGTAATCAGGTCCGAGAATGTTTCTTCGATGTCCGAGAGAGTTCATGCACTGATCTACAGTCGCATATGCAGACGAGCCAGAATTATATGCAACAATTTCAGCGAGTGCACCACTCAACGGATAACCGGCATTGAGAGTACGAGACTATTAAAATATATAAAAAATGAAACATGTAAAAACCACCGTAACATGAAATTCTTAATCATACTTGAAAGTCACCATCACCACCGTGAGTCAACTGATTATTGTCACCCATCCACTGAGAATGTCGGAATGCTGCCAAATTGAGCTTTTTGGAGACACACTGCGACCGAAGTCCATGGTTTCGTCGCACTATTATAATTGATCACAAATGAAAGCATCCCAACACTCCACATCATTAATCAATCATGTGCAATTTGAAAAAAGAAAGCAAATCCAACTCAAGGAGAAAATAGGATATTCTCGAGTAAAAGACAGCATTTTTCCTCAGAAATCGTTCGTGCTGGATATAGCTAAGAAATCCGCCTACGCATTTACAAAGAATATTGTTCTTTATAACGAAAAATACAACAAGCTTGCTTGTGTACAGATCGTCGTATCTCATAATAGATAAAAAGAGCGACAAATCTAGAAGCCTTGGGACAAAAGTCAGTATGTACTATGTACGAAGAGAATTAGGGAAGCGAACTGCCCCCCCCCCCCCCAATCTCGTTCCTAATTGTACTACGTGTAAGACGCTTCTCCACTTGCCGTGATTTATAGCCTTGATAAAATCTCGATGAACGTCATTGATGGAATTATCAGTATCATCGACATCTGATGGGCTGGGACCATCGGTATCGTCATCGGATGAATGCGGTCCACCAGAAGGACCGTCACTTTCATCGTCATCGTCGGAGGTATGTGACGTGTCAGAAGCACTGTCATTACCATCGTTGGATGGATTGGAATCATCGGTATCGTCATCAGATGAATGTGATCCATCAGAAGAATCGCCATTTTCATCATTTGATTGAGTGGAATCATCGGTATCGTCATCGGATGAATGCGGTCCACCAGAAGAACCGTCACTTTCATCGTCATCGTCGGAGGTATGTGCCGCGTCAGAAGAATCGCCATTATCATCGTTGGATGGATTGGAATCATCGGTATCATCATCAGATGGATGTGACCCGTCAGAAGAATCGCCAGTTTCATCGTCGGAGGTATGTGATGCGTCAGAAGAACTGTCATTATCATCGTTGGATGGATTGGAATCATCGGTATCGTCATCAGATGAATGTGATCCATCAGAAAATCCGTCACTTTCATCGTCATCGTCGGAGGTATGTGACGCGTCAGAAGAACCATCACTATCATCGTCAGATGGCGTCAGCCCATCGATGGAACCGTCATTATCATCATCTAGATCAATAGCATACCTGTTTGTGTCCTCATCACTATGTTTTGTTTGAAAGATTATGGGAAATATTGTGTTGGAATCCAGTGAGATATTTGATGCAGAAGATTGTAATTCATACGTGGTTTTATTTATTATCCCAGTTGATATTAGATCAATAAGGTTGTTTTCAGATTTCTTGAAATCTTTAGATGGATTCGACAAGAGTTCATTATAACATGGTTCATCGCTACATTGAATAGAATCGTTCGATATTAATTGAATAAGAAGTGCTTTCTTATTTGGAATCGGTGCGCTGTAAACACAGCTGACAATGATAATCAAAGATAGCAAGCAGCAAACCTTTCCCATAGATAGATGAGTTGTAAATTGAATTAACTGTAGTAGAAAGCAATATCTATAGTGAATTTGTCGAATAAAAAACTTTGATGAGTGAATTTCTAATGAATATAAATTCCTCAATTGTTAAGAATACGATGAAACTCCCCAGAGAAAAGCATTTTCTCCAAAGTTCAACATTAGTCCCAATAATATTCAGATACTTTGAAGATTAGTACTGTTAATTTCATTCTATCATACCCAATGAAAAGCTCGATCACTTATTTATCTTGTTTCTAAATCCTTTCTTTTTATATAATGCCCGAGACGTATGTGTATTTACTTACTTTTGTCAAACTGTCCGCACAGATAACGAAAATTCGAACGAACAAATAATCTTCATGTATTTATATACATAAGATACTACGAGTCCCGGAGTGTCTTTTTCCCAGATGAATATGTGTTTTTTTTGCCATTGATCAGATCATTACCCATGGGAATGTTTTAGTTTCTGTTTTATCTCTTTACTGTAGATTTCAATGACACATGAAATGCCATTTTATCTTCCATTTTGTTCTTCTATTTCATATTGATTCTAAAGATTATATTCACCATGGAACATGACGCATGTGGAATGATTTTGTAACAGGTGGAACTTTACTTATTGATTAGTAATATCGAGCATAGTAGTCTTTCGTAACTTTTGTTTAGAAGTATTGTTAATCTCTTTTCTCGAGAAAAATGCGCTTATCCAATTTTGAATTCTCGATTAGAGAACGCGCCGAATTCATTATTCTAAACTAATCATCAAACAGCACGCGAATTTAATATGAGATTTTCTGCAAAATTGCCGTGTACTGTAAGTATTTTTATAATAATTCACGAACGACTCATATTCGAAATTCGACCGAGATATTCGTGAGACTAAATTGATCTAAACTATATGAATGAGAACACGCGATTTTCGTTATCTTTTTCATTTGTTTGCTAAACTTTACATGAGACTCCAATGAATAAGAAAGATCTCAATGCGATGACCTGTTGATGATTAAAATCTATGAACTTATTTACTTCAGAAACATATACAAAGCCCGACTTGACGATTATATACTTAGTTTAAAATATTTATACAAAAAAACTCATGAAATCTACACATTGGATGGAATTTTGTTGTATAAAAATACAAGTGTCATATCAATGGATCTAGCGGGTGGTCTTTTCTCACTATAACAAGTTGAGACAGTGAGAACATCAGTCATTGAATATAGGAGGTATTCCTTATTACAATATTCATATGTCAAATTACTTGAACAGTATTGAATATTAAAATATCAATGAATTTTGTTTTGATATTTCAATTAAATTTGTACGTCAAAGTATGATGTTAAACAAACATTAAAGAACAAGTGAAGATGTAAATGTAGAATGAGAATTAGCCGTAATTTATAATAATCTCTCATTTTGTAAGAATGGATATACATTGGTTGTCGTCAGGCGGATTCGACAGGTGCGTCTAGAATTATAATACAACACAGCTAAAAATCACGTCCACCAAATTTGCAGCATCCAATTGGATTTCTTGCCAACGGAATTCAATACAAATCTGTCATTTGCACGACTTGTAAAAAGCGATAGTGATTTGTTCATCTGTTTTAAAATGACTGAAACTTTAAGTAAATTTTCACTATTTCATTTGAAATTTAGTCGCGATATCTCATTTCCTTCTTGTGATGTTTGTTAAAAGCTAATTCGGAAACACGTTCTAATAGGTCGAAAACGTAACTTTGAACGAAGAAAAATACAAAATACTCACTCAAGAAACAAGTTGACTTCGCTTAACAAAAGGCAATAGACTATGAGAATAGATTTACTTTTGATAAATTTTTTAATCTATTCAATAAATGGTATTGTGATAATGACAGTTCATCGATTGTCGCAGTATATAATCCAGATTCTGCTTGTTCTTTCTCTTCGAAATGTGGCATTGTCAATCGATGTTTTCATTCAATCTTCTATTTAGTAATGTGTTCATGGAATGAAATGTCCAACTGCATTTTATTATTTGGTGATAAATGTCAGGCAGATACTATCGTTTCATAAGAAAATACTCGAGCAAGTGTGATTTGTTACCGGAAAAATCAATATCAGTTTTATTTTATTACGAATTTCAAATAAGTGATCTCTGTTAGAAGCAAATATTTATTGTTCTTCTACTCTGACAACCACAGATGCTTTTATAACGATGACTTCCGAATGGAATGTGTATTTCAAGTCATTGGAACACAGAGAACAGTTTTTCTTTCATCTATTAAACGTATTTTGAGTGGATAGGAACCAAGAACATGATTTGTGCCAAAGAAATATCACATATTACAGATTTTATCGAACGGGAAAGTATTAGGAATGAGTGGAAAAGATAGTAGTGGTAGTGTCAATACTGCTGAATGATATAATTCTTTAACAAGCAATTGAACAATGACAGGAAGTATGCGTGATGCACAACACTATCACACAGCATCTGTACTATCAAATGGAAAAGTATTAATCATTAACAATTCTTCTCTCAAGAGTTCCGAATTGTATTAACAATTGGAACAGAACAATATTTTGTTTTTTAAAAGAAATACACAAAGATTGTCGAATAAATTAATAATATTTTCAATAGTAAAAGATAATTCAAACTCTATAGAATTATTCTTTCACCACTCGAAATACTACAAGGTTGTTTTTTTCAATCGAGCCAACGTGAGACGAATTTTCATATAATTCTAAAAGTTGTTCTATATTAATACAAAAAATATTCGTGATAACCAACGCTCTTTGTTTCAAATCGTTGTAGTGGTGCGTTACACATTCAAATATTTGTCACATGTCTTTGTTTATTCTTCGTAATTTATTAAGATTTGTTTCTCAACCTTCGATTTGTGTATAGTGAAATATAAAAGTATCAAAAGGTGTATCACTAAGTGTACTTAAACGCACAGGTGATTCGATAACCCAATCATTGTTGTTTACGTATCTTGTATATTATGTGCAAAACAGTGAATAATCAATGATCAAGGTAATTGGCATATATTTTTGATTCAATCAATTTTCTAATCAGTTCACAGATTCAAATGCAATTTTCATTTGTATATTTTGTTTACTTCACCTCGGATCGTCTATTTAGTTGATTGACAAAATTCGTACGAAAAAAGGCGAAATATTTCGTCTTGCTTTGATTATTCTGTACAACAATAACAGTAAAATGGTCGACAAAATTATCATGACTTTGACAATAATAATTTGCAATGAATTGTATATTGATGATCAATCTGATGAAGTCACTGATTTTGAGAAGAACTTGATAAACATGCTAAAAATATAAGAAGAAAACGATTAGTTAACAGTGTTGTCACGATACTGATTGTTGTATTATGAGTCGTTGTGGATGTTGACGATAAGAATGAACCCATTTGTTACAAAGGTTGCGTTCATTGTTGTGATAGTGCCCCCCGGCAGTGTTCTTGTTTTCGAAAATTGAAGTAAGAAAGTAAATTGTAACTAATCGTAGATAAATGGTTTACTCATTTTATTCTGGAAACCAACTGGATGTACGCATCGAGCGTTCAATACGAGAAGAACTCTTTTAATCTTTTTTCTCTTATAAAATAAATTTCCCTAAATTTCAATTATGTTTCGAGAATATGACAGAAAATGTATGCAGTTCCATTTCACATTTCTCACAACGATGCATTTAATTGGTATTTTCTTGATTCTCGTAGAAAGATCATTTCTAATAACATTATTTATCTTATATCTTTCTTATGATTTGAGATATTTCGAAGATCATGTCGTGATTCACCACACTCTAAACGACATATGACACACACAACATATATAATAAAATGCAAAGTATATCAAAAGATGGATGATTGGATCATACAATCATTCTTGTTTATCTGTTATGAGTAAATTACATTTCCTTTTTGTACGGAGAAAGAAACATACAATACGAGCAAACTATATGATTGGTATTGAAAAAGAACGTGCACCTCTTTTACCCGACGATTGACGGTATTTATACAAAATACAAAATATATTTTTCATTACCATTACACGCCGATACTTTTTCCTGTGACCATATTTGTACAACGAGGAAATGGTGAAGAAAACAACTGTTATACTCTTGGCTTTGACTATTATGACTTTGGTTGTGACTTGCAAAGAGCTCGATCTTAGTAGTGAGAACTTGGGTGAAAACAACGATTTAGAACGACACATCGATGGATATTTTGAGTCAATGCTCGAAGAAACACTCGAAAAGCGCGGCAAATGTCGTACTATAGGGGCAAAGTGTGGTAAAAACCATAAGAAGTGTTGTAGTCATCTTTGTCTTTGGGGCAAATGCACAGAATGTGGTGGAAAACAACATTGCAAAACTTGTCCTTATGAGGGTGCTTTCGTTCCTCATAATGGTTATGTCACTTACAGCTATAACTGTAAGAACTAAAGAGCGTATTTTACTGGTTGTCTTCTGGGTGATCATGGGCATATTTTAACTATGATTACAAAATCGAACTTTTTCCCATTCAACAGTTTTCTTTCTTGTCACAAAAAAAAAATAAAGTTAAAAAGCGTGTTTATTTCCAAAGCATCAAAGAAACATAGTCAGAACAAGTTAGTTTTTCTTTTAAAATACAATTTCTTTTCACTTATCTTCGATGAATTACATTTTTCCAAATTATAAAACTCAAAGTAATAAACATAAAAAGAGCTACATTATGCAACATTGCATCATTTGGTATTTCATTTACACTCGTATGTGGATGTATTGATTGTAATTAGTTGAATATCTTCTAGTTCGTTGTTTGTTTCACGAGAACAGTCAGGCGATGTTATTCTTGTACGTATCAGTCGGGATCGACGATTCGTTGATTTCTTCTTCCAATGCCACTAATTTGTAAAATGACCTTTTAAACATCGAACACGTCAATTGTTGAGATGACTCCAAATTTTTTCATCTGTCAATGGTATTAAATGGTTTGGTGTACATTGCGAATGCACAAAACGGACATTTTCATTCATATATTCGTATGAATGTTTCAATGGCGATCTTTGAGACATTGTTTTAAAAAGAAAGTGAAAATATATGAGAGTAAAATGTGATTAATAAATTTCAAATCGTAAAGTATTTTTCAATTTGAATTTATAATAATTTCATTTAAAAAAAAACACTTCGAAATTATTATTAAGAACACAAATGTCATTTGAGCATTGTGGTGTTAATTAAAAGAACGTTGGGTAATCTTTGCTCTTAATCCATATTTCGATTTCATAGCAATTCGAACAACAGGTACGATCTTTTGACCAGGTTCGATTTCAAAATTGCATCGTTGAATAAGCATTGCTAAGATTATTTTCGATTCAAGTAAAGCAAAATTTTGTCCAATACAATTCCGCGGTCCAGCTCCAAACGGTAAATAGCAAAATGGATGAGATAATTTTGGTTTTAAGCCTGTAATTGGATCTCTCATCCATCTCGTATAATCAAATTCAGTTGGTTGAGACCAATATTCTTCTCTTTGATGAAGAACTTGTACACTGACCATTACTTTCGCTCCAACAGGAATACGTATTTGACGTTGTCCTTCTTTTCCTATGTAATGTTCACGAATACATTCTCGTGAGAGAAACGATGCCGGTGGATAAAGACGAAGTGTTTCTTGAAGAATCGCTTCACAAACGACCAATTGATTGAGATTTTCACGAGTAATTTCAGCTCCATTAGGAAGTATTCGATCAACTTCTTCTCGACATGCTTCGAAAACTTTTTCATTTGTCATTAAAACATACATAGTCCATGTCAATAAACTTCCAGTTGTTTCATGACCAGCAAGAACGAATGTCAACGCTTGATCTTTAATTTCTTGATTATCAAATGGTTTTCCTTGATCATCAACTGCTGAAAGAAGAAGATCAAGTAAATCTTCATTCGACGAAAGACTCGTCGATTTTTCATGTCGACGATCAGAAATAATTTCATCAACAAAGTTTGAAATATCCATCGAACATTTGTTGATTATTTTTTTACCCCAAAATGGTAATCGACCAATGAGAGGTATATCATCAATCATACGCATTGCTCGGTATTCCAGAACTCGTAATAATTCATTAATGGATTGACGTAGAATTTGTTTGGAATTCGATGTGGATTGAAAATCTTTTCCAAATGCACTCGATGCAATAATCGCTAAGGTGATATTATTCATTTGAGTATCTAAATCAACAAATTGATTGGTATTGGATAATAAGAAAAGTTCATCGATCGTCTTCTTTGTTTGATCGATCATAAGATCAATCATCGATTGTAAATGCACATAATGAAAAGCTGGATTTAACATTTGGCGTGCACGTGTATGTTCCTCTCCTTCACTAACTAATAAATTATGTATTCCAATCAATGGTTTGAAGTATTTATCCATTCCAACTGGTTTTCGATAATCTTGTGAATGCGTTCGACCGAATACATCAGCGAGCATATCAGCATCCATGATTACCAATGTTGTTGATGGTCCGAAACCAATGGTATAGACATAACCATGCTTTTCAATCAATTGATTTCGATAATCTACAATTGTGTCGTTGTCAAAGGCATGATGAATGTCAAGTAATTGACCGATTAAAGGTTTGAATGGTTCACATGAAACACCTTGTTCACAAAAAGTGTCATATAAAGCTTTTTGTGGACGAATGAATTTCCAGTAAACAAGGAAAATGAAGACACTAATTGCAAAGAAAATTAGTAGCAGCATTGGATGTGTGTTGTGAGAATTTGCAATAAATAATTAGTTTTATATAAGTCATACTCGTGGATAACGTGGCAAGATGTGGCAATGTTGGACTAGAATGTATGTGCCAAGTAGAGAATAGAAAATATGGAGTGGATAAAATTCATTCATTCGCCATTGTAGAAGCGATAGAAATTTTGTTCTAGATGGCGCTGATTTGTGGTTAGACATACGTGTTGGAGAAATCGTATCAAAAGTAAATATTTTACTTCGATGTGTTTTTCATTTTCTATACTTGAATTTATCTGATATTTGACGCAACGACAAGTGTGTTTTAAGTGCATTACTTAATTTACGTAAATCAAACATATCATTACTTGCAGTCAGGAATCTCATCACCCTCACCCACCCTTAATTGCACTGATGCAGCGACTCAATCCTAATAGCAAAAACATGGACGTATACTCAGGAAGATTTCCACACTTGACGTTTTATATCAATTTGGATACCGGGAACACAATGCGGTAATTTTTTGTGGTAGAATAATCATTTATTTCTATTGATTACTTTATAGTTTCCATCATCATAGGTGGAAATCACACATTCAATCCAAGTTTATCATCAACATGCAATGTTAATGGAACATGAGTTGTCGATATCGTTAATATGAGAAGTAGAAAGAAGAAGAATTCAAAATTGATCTGTTTCATTATAAATTACTGGCATTTCAATTTCTAAACAATCCTTCATCATTGCTTATTCAGCTAATGGAACGCATGGAAGTGCAAGTGGTGGTGAAGTAACACCTGAATGGGCAATGTAATTATTCAAACACCTCCGAATATTCTATTTCGTTCGATGACAACACTCTTTCCTCTATCATCAACAACAACAGCAGCAAAACCAGGTAAGACATAGGTACACAAAAATCTATACAAACTTATTTCCTTCCGTGATTTTAGCGACAACTAACTACTAACTCGTTGCCGCAGCACAATGTTATAATTATACAACACGGTTAGCAACAGCAAATGCAACCGATGATTGTGATTCAACTGTTTCCAGTAGTGTTAGTACCAATGTTCCCACATTTGTTCGTTTTGTAAGTCCAGGTGGATGCGCTTTTAGATATTGTGCGCAATAGACACAACTACGTATCTTAAGTTGTTGCCGTCAGAACATGATGTCCTGTTTTTCAATAAATTCTTTTTTTGTCATTCATTTGAAGAGACAAACTTTCATGATTTTGAATGTGCTTGTAAACCTTTCTTTGAAAAATGGGAACATTTGTATTTCTTCTCAACTTGTTTCATCTTGAATAATATAAATATCGTTGGACTGGAAAATCTTGTGCGACAGTTAAGAGTAAAGATATTGCTTGTCTTTTCTCGTGCAATAATCCATTAGAGCATATATCATCATTAGGCTAAAGAAATATTTCCGACGAACTTTTCCCATCTACTTTTTTTTATCTTAATGAGTGAAAATTAAAAAATTGAATTTATTTAGAATAATCTAATGAACTTCCATGATTTTAGTATTTCCGATGTCATAACAGGTCAAACACTTCTTCACTGTTAACAAGATGAACAACGAGACTTTGGAAGTAAATCTGAATTCATATCCATTCGAATTTACATTCTTATTAATTCTCTGCATTTTATCGTTTCCGTGCTTTTTGTTTGTTTTTTATTATTTATTTTGTATTCGTACTGTTCATAATCATGTCATTCTTCTCTTAATTTTAAGTAATTTTCTTCAAAGTCTAACAGATTTACCAATGCATTTAAGTTATTATTATTTGGGCGTTATTTGGCCTTCGAGTCTTTCATATTGTTCGTTATATCAATTCCTCGATTATTATTTCTACACAACTTGTTTTTTACTTTTAACATGGGCTTCAGTTGAACGACATATTTTGATTTTTCATTGTAAATTTTTTAAAACACCTCGTCAGCGCCTCGTCGGTCATTATTTTCCTTTAATGTTTTGTATAATTTATCCATTGATTTATTATATTGTGTTTGTCTATTTGTATCCATGCGAAAATTCTTATGATATACACACGTCTTATTGTGTTGTATTTTGTTATTTATTGGACAGTAGTTTAATGAATCTTTATGAGCAAATTGTTCATGGATTCGCACTAATATTTCTTATTTTGATTTTTAATATTTCACTTATTTTACGTGTCATTCGACAGAAACGACAGATGGGTCGACAAATGACTTGGAATCAAAATCGTAAACTAGCAATGCAATTGTTCGGTATGTTTGCACTTTTTCTCGCTACTAATGGAATTTATTTCACAATTCAACTGGGAAAAGTTCTATACGATCCGAATTTTGGTTCAAATATCAATCAACAGATCGTTGTTTTATCTTTATCAATGCCTCCATTAGTTCCTATCGTATGTCTCATCACTTCACAAGAGCTCCGAACAAAATTAAATTTTCGATTCAATCGGAACGTTGTCAAACCGATTGCGATATTAGAATTAAAGCAAATGCGCGGGATAAGAACGTGATATTTGATTTACTAAGGAATCGCATTATGAAAAGTATTCATTATAACGATGTTCGAGCCTACTTTAAATGTCATCACGAGATTTTTTTAAAATAAAATTTTATAGTCTGATATATTTTCTTTGAATTCGCCAAGAAATTTTCATCGATTTTTGATAATATCAATTTGATCAAGTTTGGCCATGTCAGATATGCGATAATAAGTAAATGTCGCATGATTTCGATCATTGATTGTTAAATAACCAAATCCCGGATCAGTTGTAAGAAAACACGATTCATTTGATCGTTGAGATAATTTATCATTTCCTTCAGGACTTCCAATCGCACCATTTATCAAATAAACAGGACCATTTGGATTCACATACTGTGTTGTATTCACTACACCTAAACGAAAAGTTCTTCACAAAACTTCGTTTTAAAACTCATTTCGTACCATTGAGACAAATTCTTTCGTACCAATGAACATGTCCAGCAAGATAAATATCGACATTATACTGAATTAAGAGTGATTCAAAAGCATCTTTACACGAAGGACAATTGATAACTCCATGTTCAGCTTTATCTTGTTTAGCAACTGAACCTTTCCATGCTCGATGGCATTGAACAATAAGCCATGGTGTAACGTTTCGATTAACATGAGATAAATCATTTTTCAGCCAATTGATTTGGGTTGTCGTGTCAAGAAGATTTCCAGATGGAGAATTTGGAAAATCGGATTCACATGAAAGTGAAATAACATGTACAAATCCATAATTAAATGAATACCAGGAATTCAAATATCCTCCTGATTGTTCACTTGGCATATGAAATCGATGAGAATATGGAATTTGATTTTGATGAACAGATGAACATAATTGATCGACTTTTGGTATTTCTGTACAATTGATTTCGTGATTACCAACAGTTGTCATGTAAAAACGTGAACTTGTGATGTTTGTCATCATTGATTGACAATAATTAAATGCTTCTTCATATGTTAAGAATAAATCTTCAGGAGAATCATCTGCATAACAAATATCACCATGATGTAAGAAGAAATCTGTCATCGGTAACATCTTCTGTAAAGCTCCTAATGCACGTTCGAATAAATGTCGACCATTAACTAGATCTTCCACTAAACCATCGACACCAAAGTCACCGTACGTTATCAAATTGATTGGTCGACTTTGATCTCCAACGATTGGAGAAGATTGAAATGAAAGAATATCTGATGAGGAAACATATGTCGATTGTTTGATTTGATAATAATAGAGCGTTGATGGTTGAAGATTTGGCAATTGAACATGATAAAACCAGGAAATTCTCAAGGGATTTCTCGTATCATAAAAACTGGAATTTCCATTGATTGAAGTGAAATTGAGATTTGTTTTTGAGAAACCATAGATGACTGTTGGAGTCGGATTTGGATTTGATGTTGATAATGGACAGCCAAACGAATGCCAACCAATATTAGCGCCACGATCACCAGCAAATGCTAAACGAATTTGATCCGGTACAAGTTTTGCGAGACAAAGGGTTGTGTCGATCGATTGGATCAAAGACAAAAACAGACAAAACCCAAAGGAATAAATTTTTCTTTGCTTCATTTTTCACGTTTCAGAGTAAATATTCCTTTTCTACGTGTATTTATATTTCTATTCATGAGTAATACAACTTCGAAATTTAGGGAGTATAGGCGTATATGAATATTTCATACTATTGAATCATATAATTCGAAGGGCGTGTTCGAATAGTTCGCTTTTACCTGACTGAATAATCAAAGGTATCGAAATCATGATAAAGAACATTAGTCATATCAATTTCTCGCACAGAATATACACGAAAACAAGAAAGACTTATTTTTGTTTTTGTTTTTATTTGACATGGTAGTACCATGTAGTTCATTATTTTAACACAATTAACAAATGAACGCGAAAGAGAGCTTGACTATCTGTAGACGCTAAATAAGACCATTTCATATACAATGTGTCGAAAACCTTCCATAATCAATTTAAGAAACATACACATTGTATTTTAGCAGTGTGAGCGAATACACTCCTGACTTATAATCTTATTCAGACAAAATCCATTCTCTCCCCAATTCTAAAAAAGCCTTCGTGGAAAACTATTTCCAATCTGCACTAATTCCACGTGCAGTGTCATAAAACGCCAATTTATTTTACATTCACTTGCGATCTTCTAGCACAAAACTGTTCTTTCCGACTGAATGCTTCGTGACAGATCAACAAAAACCAGAATACAAAACAATTCACACGCGCACATCGTCCATCGACTGGGCGATTGTTCTTTTATCAGCATTCCTGTTTTCGGCAACTGACAGCATGAGCATAAATTCATATAAATGGGCGAAAACAAGGTACACATCTTTACATTCTCCGTCGTAAAGCAACAGCATCATTTCAATTCGTTGATACAGATTTGAAACTATGCCGAGCAAGATCTTGTTGAGTTTCATCAGTGTCATGTGTGCGTAGGATCGCGGTATAATGATATTCACCTAAATATTTTCTGAAATACCTAATTGTTCAACAGCCTGCGTCTACTCTCAAATGCTGTGTGCACGATGAGTAGCGATTATGACAATCATGATCTAGAATCGAATAAATAAAGTCTTCCTCTCTTAGAAAATTTTCTCTTCAAGTAACAACAATTATATAATACGAGTGACAAATGATACTAGTTGTTAAACGTATAGCACACCCACCATACCGTCCATCGATGGAGTGATTGTCTACTGTCGTAATACAGATTTGTGCAATGGTTTTTCAATGAAATCATCCAGCAAAATGCTGGCATTAACAATGGCTGTACTTAGCTCGTTTTATGTTAAAGTGAGTGTTTTGCAAGTCATGTATAAGTTTTTTCTGTGTATATTTTTGAGGGTAGAACGAATGTGATGGATAAACGAGAGAAAATAATCCATTGAGAAGAGATATGATTCTCGAAATGATTTCATACAAATCAGGAATCAATGAAACAATCAATTGAGGCAATGATAAAAAAAAGGTTTGTATGATGTATCTTACAGTTAAAAAAAGATTTATCTTATTAGTTGAGGAATAAAAATGCTTTTTATCAAAATTAAAAAATCATCAGTTAAAAGAAGAGAAAAGTTAATTCTGAATCCTTGAGAGATAATTCATCAAGTCATCTTTTGTGTATTGCACATCATTAACTAATGAAATATGATTAAATTGATCTAAAAGTTCGTGCATATGAGTTGTTTGAAAACGAGATACTTCATTTTTCATTATAATCCATGATTTTCTCTCGAAGTTCCCAGGTCGAACCATCCGGCACGGAAACGGCCGGTTCCATGCTATTCCGTTGATTTCATAGAATCCTGCTTCAGGAACCATCGTCTTGGAATCGACGACCACCATATAAAGTTCTTTCTAAATCGTAATACTGAACAAGAAACAATAATGATGGTGATACTGTAAGATCAACAAGTGTTGTCGTATCGGAAATAAGCGCTTTTTCTTGCAGGCCATTTGAGTTACGAGAATCCAGATTAAAAACTGTGTTGGAATAAACATCCAATCCATCAATCATTGATATAAGTGAACGATGATTTGCTTTCATTCGATTTAATTCATGGCTGAATTGTTCATATTTCTTATTGTTGAAACCATGTACTATATTTATTCTCACATTCTTTGAACATTGAAATCGAATCTTTGATCAATTTCTGCACTTCATAATTCATATGACCTTTGTTTTCCAAATTAATGCAAGACGGATCTGAGTGGTATATAAATACTCGATTGTCATTCGAAATAATCAGTATCGTAATACATGTATAAATGCCTGTTGTTGACAAAACTGGGTGTGGGTGCTTCTTCAAACGAAACATTTTCGATTTCTGAAGGCATTAAAAATCTGGATAGAACAAAACAAATTGAAGAGAATACATGGTATTCCCCAGTGTTGCACATTGTGGAATCAGTTCCGTCTTCTGAATGAATTTCTTCGTTTCGGCGAGCGGAACACATTTCTAAATATTCAACATTGTGGAATGCGATGGCTATTCAAGTTCAAAATTTATTTCAAGTTTCAAATGCGTTTCTCTTTACATTGATCGAAATTCAACACAAACCATTGTTATACAAAGGACAGTAGAATTTCTTTTTTCACAAAAATCGTCGTATAGATATTTTACTACAAAGATGTCACTACGAACTAATATCGTAGTGTTGTAATCAAAATGAAAGGTTAAGAAAACAATAGAAGTTTGATGAATACTTTGAACAACATCAATACTATCGAGACCATCAATGAGACATATTCTGATTATGAAACTAATTTGAGTTTTCCGCACTACGAATACTTCGAAAGCGTGTATTACGCCATTCTTAAAGCTTTCTGAACAAACTTGGCGTTTATATTGTGAACGAGAACTGTACTTCTACTTTATTTATCTCATATTCAATAAATCCTAATAGTATTGAAAAATCTTTTTTTTCCAAAGTTTAAACATGAATTATAGTTGACTGAATGTCAACTCTGTTTAACAATTCCATATTCTATTCAACGGTCCACTGAACATCTCTGGATAAATTCCAAAAGAGAGACCATACCCCTTTAATGAAACGTACGTTTATACATCAGAGAGCATGTTGCTTTTCTGATCAACAAGTTTCGTTGGTGAAGATGAGTTGTATTTGATATAAGACTACACAGCGAGTATGTTGGGCCTCCTGTGTGTTATTTGCGATGCAAGAGCACATTCAGTCGAATCCACTTATAGGAGCTCCGTATATAGGAGCGATCCGCTTTTAAGAGCCGCTTTCAAATTTCCCGTTTTTTCGTAATATCTTTTATATTGAATCAAAGTCCGCTTGAAAGAGCCTCGGATACGGGAGCGATTCGGTTATAAGAGCTGTATTTTGGTGTTTTATTTCGATTTTAGTCTGTATATAAGAGCTAATATTTATCTATATGACTATAAATATAAAATCATGTTCGCCTTTTTCTCTTTCCTGTTGGTCGTATGTGTAATTAATTTTTCCTTTCCTTCATTTTTCTTTCTTTGCTATCATATGTGTGTGGCGGATTTCTCTTTTCTTCTTCCTTTCTGTACATTGTTCGCCATTTTCGTCGAATCTTTACTTTTCGAAAAATGGCATCTAACAGTGGTAGACGTTCCACATTGTTGATTGAACAAAAATTGAAAATCTTGGAAGCACTGGAATCCAAAAAAGCAGACGATGTGGCGAAATATTTCAACATTGGCTATTCTACGGTGAAGAAGATCAGGCAAAATGAAGAAGAAATTCGAAAGGTTGTGGTGAACAATGGCAATTTAAGTCGAAAACGAAAACGCGAAAGTCCTAACGAAGAAATCGGCGAAGCGCTTATTGCTTGGTTCCATCAAATGCGAGCTCAAAATGCCACGATCAACGGACCGCTGATGATGGGAAAAGCCAAGCAATTGGCAGTTACACGCGAACATCAAGAATCCGAGCCGTCGCACGATTGGTTGGAACGACTGAAATCCCGCCACAACATTAAGTTTATCAAAGTTTCGGGTGAACAGGCTAGCGCTGATCAAGCTGGCGCAAAAAAACTGGATTGATAATGTCTTACCCGATGTGATCGAAAGCTATGATCTGAACGATGTTTTCAATGCGGGCGAAACCGGACTGTACTAGAAAGCTGCATCATCGGGTACTCTCGCTGTCTCCGGAACTCATCCTACTGGTGGAAAAACACCGAAAGATCGAATGACTGTCCTTTTCTTATGCAATTCTACAGGAACTGAAAAGAAGGCATACGTGATTGGAAAATTCAAAAATCCGCGTTGTTTCAAGAAAGCTCGACCCCCGTTGCCATACTACAGCAGCGTAAACGCATGGATGACCAGTTGGATTTGGTCGGATATTTTGCAAAAATTCGATCAAGAATTAGGTAAACGAAAAAATCTTCTTTTCGCTGATAACGCCTCCTTTCACAAGATCAATGAAACGTTGAAGAACATAAAAATCATTTGTATGCTGCCGAACACAACATCCCTGATCCAACCTTTGGATCGAGGCATCATTCGTACGACGAAGATGCATCATCCTACTCAAGTTATGAGAGAAATGCTTCAAGCGGTCAATGATGGCACGTCGATAATCGATTATGCTAAATCGATCGCTATTTTCGAAGCCTTACCTCTNCTAAATCGATCGATATTTTAAAAGCCTTACATATGCTCAAACGAGCTTGGTTTCTCGTTTCACCCACTACGATCGAAAACTGTTTTCGAAAAGCTAGTTTTTTTGGTTAATGTTAACAATAACGACGTGGACAAATGGCAGGAGGTTTTGGATATATCGGAGTTCGGTAATGCTATACAAGAAGAAGGTTTCAGAGCGTTCGTCGATTGTGATGAGGAAGCCGAATGTTTTGGAACCCTCACCGATGCCGAAATTTGCGATTCAGTGAAACTAAATCGAGATGGAATGGTTGATTTAGAGGAAGACGAGGAAGACGAAGTCGAAATTGTTGATAAACCAATACTAGGTATCTCTCATAAAGATGCGCTGATGCATCTCTCAATGGTTCGCAGGTATTTGGAAGAGAATTTTACAGATTACAATTCATACTATGATATCGAAGACATGATCGAAAAGAACGTTTCAATTAATCGTAGTCAACGTCAAATCACAGACTTTTTAAAATAAACTTATGCATCTGTATGTATTACTTGATAAATATTGACAAAGATCAATTTTTTTCACTGTTTTACATATAGTTCGCATTAAGGAGCGACACGGATATAAGAGCCACTTTTTGATTCCCCGACTGCGCTCTTATAAGCGGATTCGACTGTATTCAATAATATCACACATTACAGGAATCAATTCATTTGATTTCAGTATTCTATGACGGAATCACATCCTCACCCTTAAGATCTGATTCAAAACAGTATAAATCGGTATCGTCATCATCGACATGAAAAGAAAAGTCTTATTTTTATTATAATTTCAAACAAAAGACGAAGAGATAAAGCGTTTCAAATATTTGATATAGATTTAGCAGTGTCAATTCGTGATACTCGTTCTACTGAAACACTCGATTCAACACGATCTTTTGTAAAATTTTTATGTTTTCGTTTATTTGGTTTCATTGAATCTGAATGGATGATACGAACTGATGTAGTACTTTTTGGTTTATCCGATAATGGAGAAATTGAAAGCTTGGATGTCCAATGATAATTACGTTTATGTCTATCGGAATTTTGTTGGGGAGTTGTCATAAGAGTGATGGTTTTAGCCGCTGCAGAAGCTATTAAGATATCTGTTGGGGATGCAGCTGATGAAGTTTCACATGACTCTTTGGATGGTCGGCTTGCTAGTGCATGTGTTTCTATAATATTTCCTTTCTTTATAATTGTGAATGAACGAGGTGATCTTGACAATAGATTATTTACACGAATAATCTTAACATTATCTGTACTTTGAGAGTTTGGACGCATATCATTCTTCTGTTCACAAGAATGCGAACTTAATTTTATGTGGGACACTTTCACTTTTTGATTGTTGTCACTATCAATTTTACGTGTAGATATACTTGATATTGGCCGATTCCAAGAATCAGGTGTTGAAAGAAAACTATCATTTCGTAAACTAATTTCTTCAGCATCTTCAACTAAACAGTTTTGCTCATAACTTATCGAATTTTCATCTAATTTTCGGTGTTTATTATTTGACCAATAACAATCAGGATCAATACATCGATCTATATGATATAGCTCATTATTACCTTCTTTTTCGAAACCATACAAACGGTTTCCAAGTACACTAAAATAAATAAACAATACTTTTAATTCTGGTTTTCTTCGGGAATATTTAACGAGCATACCAACAATAGCGACAGCAGAAAAAGGAAATGAAAGCTAATACTCCTAGTGTCAATACACCAATGATACTTCCAATTAATGGCCAAGTAATTGGAGCAGCTAGAATAAAGATATATTGATGGCATGATGGATTTACAATTAGATTTCGAGAAAAACAAACAAACGTTTTACTGTTGTAGTTGTGGCAGTTGTTGATGTTGTTGATGTCGTTGTTGATCTATAAAAATATATAGATTAAAGCATATTCCTCATCATCCTAAAGAATAAATGAATGAAGGAATTTACGTGGTACTAGTGGTAGAAGTGGTAGATGTTGTCGACCTATAGAGAGTATATCATTCAATTGTTGAAACATGTAGAAGAAGTGAAGGATGCACTAACGTAGTAGATGATGTACTCGATGTTGATCTAAAATAATACACATATTATTGTTTTTAGCATTTGTGGAACACGCGAAAAAGTCACGTACGTTGTTGATGTACTTGTAGAAGATGTTGAAGTACTAATGTGAAATTATTGAAGAATTGAGTTTTTTTAAAATAGAATTACTAACCTGCTGGTGCTACTTGTAGATCTAAAAAGAGAATCAATTAAAAGGAATAACAAAAAAAAAGTAATAAAACATACATGGATGTTGTATCAGTAGTAGTTGTCGTTGATAGACAAGGTTCACCAGGACATGAACAAATAGGTTTTTCTGTTACAAAGAATTTGAAACAATACTGCGCTGATTGTGAATTTTTACTAAAACAAAGATGCTGCAATCAATTTTTAATGAATTATGACAAAGATAAGAACCTATCAATTGCCATCGAACACATTACTTTATAACCGAGTTGAGATTTGGTAGGGGTCCATGTTAATGTCTTTGAATAGACTGTTGAATTATGTTGAACAAGATTTCCTTTAATCATGCTAGTAAATGATAGCGTAGCAATATCGTTAATAATTATAGGTGAAGGACAATAATTCATAGCAAAAATTTGTGATGTATATGCCTGACCAACTGCAACAGTTGTACAAGATTGTTCTTCCGGTATACCATTAATTTCAGGTGGTGTTGGACAAGTTGGCGGAGCAACAATGTGAACAAGAAACTGAACAGGTACTGAACTCAATGGTGTTATACTTGATGTATCGAGAAAATCTTCCACCTATATATAACAAAATAGTCTTACTATAAGGAAGAAACAAAAAAGACTAACCATAAGTGTAACAGCATACCAACCATTGAGCACTGTACCAGTGATGACCATTGTACAATTCGGAAAGAGTTGCGTACCTGCTGGAAGTGAGCCAGGTGGACAGACTTGTCCACATTCATTCACTCCACCAGTTTTTGTTGACCATCGACATCGAAGGTCATCACCATCTGCATCACCGACGGGAATTTCAATCACCGTTGGAACATTTCTTGGAATATTAATTGGAGACATCATAGTAGCAACAGGTGCATTATTATATAGACCATTATCAGATCGGGGTTTAGTCTGAATACGTGCAGATATTGACCAATCAGCAGAAGAATGTGTTGTTAATGGACGCCAAGCAGTATCTTGGAAGGCTACGGAAAAGTCATCATTCACAGCTAAATAAACAATATCAGTACGCTGTCCAACAGAAATATCACCGACAGTTGAAAAATCAGTACAAAAAGGGCGGACTTCAAGATTCGTGTATCCGGCAGAAGTAGAACCACAGCTACTAACACATTCGAGTCTTTCAGAAGCAACTCCTGCGTAATTTGGAATTAATCCATTTCCAGAAATTAATGCATTTGAACACTTCATGTTAGTGTATGTCCATGAATAAGTTTGAGTGATAGCAATAGCAACTGGTGATCCTGTAGCTGATTCATTAACTGGACGATATGTTATCGTACCACCAAGAAAATGGTCACCATTTAAATATGAAATTAAGTCAAGAAAGATCCAAAGTAACAGTAGTTCTTTCATCAGTGAAAAGATTTAGTCTTTTCAGTACGAAACAGTATAAAGAATAACAAAAAGAATCTTTGTCGAGTATTATTATAAATCGAGAACAAAAAACTAATTCTTTTTCAATTAAATTAATTTTTCTATGTTATACAGTTAGTTATAGGGTAACTCAATTTTTATTTCTCTGGATTTTTACAGTATTCTTTTGTTTATATTAAATTGTTTCATAAGACTATTGTGAGAGTCATTAGGTGGAAATCCATTGAAATAACGTCACTTTATTATTTGTATGATAAGAACTTTTTTTTCTATTCTTATAGTTCACAAAAGAAACCATAAGAATACTCTTAAAATCAAAATTCACCATGATGCCTTATGAAGAAATTCAGAATATAAAAGAGAATATTCGATGTTTTTCTATATGTTTTTAAGCAAAATATTAATCTGAAAGGAGAGAAAGAACTGCTTTTCTTATGAATGTAGTCTTCTGATATTCAATAAATAAGTGACTCTTGCACACCTGAAAAGGGATATTGGGCACTTTCATACTGTATTTCGTAGCTTATAAATACTTTATTAAGTGTTTAAACTGCAGTTCATATTATATGAAGTTAATTTGATGTATCATTTTTATAAGAAAAAAGTGAAAATTTTTCATCATATTTCTCTCGATACTAATTACAAGTAGCGTTCGTGGTGCCGACTCACTTCACCCTCGACTGTGGAAGACAGATATACTGTCTGCGTGTGCTATTAATGAGGCGAATCAATCTAGCAACTTCACCTACAATGAAACGGTAAAACCTTTTCTGTTCGACTATTTATTAACTCTCGCAAATAAAATAGCTTATTGTCTTTGTAAAACAAATGTGAGGATATAAAAGGTCTTTATTTATTGAACGTTATCAGATACTGACCACCCGCCTTATCGGTAGGGCCACATAACAAATGCAGCTAAGACGCTGAATGCATGATTTATCCATCCTCGACATCTAATTTCACAGTCTGATATCGCGCGCTAGCTATCGATCCATTTTATGATTTGCGATAATTATCAATCAGCCTCATCTATCTCCACGAGCTATTCGTGACGTTGCTGTCATTTTTCGCCTTCAATTATGCCACAGATAGACACCATTCCAACTACTTTTCTCAAGAGACCATGTGGCGAGTCTTCGCCCATGTTCCCAATACAGTATTCGCTTAGCCAAATTATCGAGTTAGTAAATTCTTAGTTGATGCCTCAAGTCATATCTCGACGCTATAAATATGCTCTTCCGTCGACCATAGGTTTGATCGGAAAGACTACTCTTCAAATGGCAAATATTTCGAGAAAAACGATTTTTAATCTTTCACTCTTGGCGCTTGGCCCTCGCCCACGTTTTGCCACAAACAAACTATTTTGTTTCATATGACCCTCCTTACAGTCGAGGGAATAAATTGTCCATTATGATTCTCCATATGTAAATCGACGAAATCGGCATGTAAACTAATATTGGCAGATAATCGTATATTTGAATCAAATTGATTCCATCGGTCGACTTTTTTGATGAAATGTCGAATAGGCCAATTGATTGCTAAAAAGATATCATCGATATATCTGAAATAGAGTTCACCACTATTGCTAATTTGTTTCACTATATCTTGTTGGTAGAAGTACATATAGCAATTCGAAATAGTAAGAGTAAGTGGAGAACCCATAGCATCACCACGTATTTGGTGATAAAATTGACCACTCAAAGAAAAGTAATTATTTTGCATAACGAATCGGCTTAAACGAACAATTGTTTCTACTTTTAGTCCACCAATTTGTTTAAGTTTGAGATAGTCTAACATTTTCTTGAGAGCTAGTACTCCTTCGACTTGTGGTATCATCGTATAAAGATCTGCAACATCAATAGTACATAATAGAGTCTCTTGTTTCATATTTTGTATTGACCATTCTTTCAATTTTTTGAGTAATTCAAATCCAGACGTAACAGTGGTATCTAGCGCCATCTTATCAAATAACGGTCGAAGTAGATCATCGAGAAATTTAGAGATCTTTATTGTTGGATGTTTAAGACCGGATATAATTGGACGAAGAGGAGTACCAGTCTTATGTGCTTTGGGTAAATAATATAGATGAGCGAACTCGACTTCTTGTTGATTTACACATAGTTGTTCGTATTGTTTTTGAGTGATCTATTTGGCTAATCGGAGATCTGGTAAGTATTTATTTGTTCGTTGAATTAAATCGGGTAATGGATCTTGTGTACCAAGACATTGATATGCTTGTGTTTTAACCATATAATCGTTAGATTTTTTGTCATAATCATCGATCTTTCCTAAATGTAATACTTTGGATTTATCTGTTTTACGTAATACTATGTTGGCGAGTCGAAATTTATGTTTTAACCGTTTGACTGATCGATCATAATTTCTCTTCGTTTTAGAAGATCGAATCGGCTGGGGTTGACTTGAAATAATCATATTATTTGGAATATCGAGAACGTATTGTCGTTGTTGTTGTTGCTCTCGACTCCCTGCTCGTCTAAAAAATAGATCGATTGTTCGGCTTCTATTTTAAATCTTTTTTCACGTAATCCATTGTAATGTAGAAATACAGCATGACCGCCTTCATCGTCGTTTTCTTGTGGAATACCTTCAACGATTTGTTTAATTTCATTTGTTAACAATTCATATTCTCGAGTACATGTTTGAACATATAAAGTCATTGCACATAGACGATAATCTTTTGTCACTTGTCTCATTTGATCGTATAAACTTGGTGCTTCTTCTTGACTTACAATTGATTCATCGATTTTAAAAGCTAATTGAGTATTGCCAATAAATTTCGGTGGTAAATCATATTCAACACGTTTTGTTGCTATTTGTAAATTTTTACTTTTGGTTAACCAAAGTTTCATT